CGAGCGCTGCCGGGTCGAGCGCGTAGTGACGGAGGTGGCCAAGCCCCCGCAGCTCGTCCCAGTGCTTCCGCGACCGGTGCTCGATGCGCACAAAGGAAAACTCGTTCTTCACGATGCACTCGAGCACGCTGTCCTGCAGCCACAGGTCGGCGTGTGGGGGGCGGAGCGAGTGAATCAGGGCAGGGAGCCGCGGCTAGCGGCGGTCCTTCATTGCGGCCGTGAAGAAAAGCTGGCGGGGCTCGTGTCGGGCAATCATCGACACAGTCTTGGAGTAGGCGGGATCGTCGCAAAATTGAGAGATCTGCAGCGCCGCGGCGCGCGTGTGTGAGAGAGGCGTGGCCCAAAACCAGACCGGGGCAGCGCGCACCTCAACCGCGTAGTCCGCCAAGCAGATCACTGCGACGCCGACCTCGAACTTTGCGTTCTCGACGATGGCGATGATGGACGCGTTGAGCGGATCGTCGTCCACATCGGCGGGCTCGTCGCTGTCTTTCTGTGGTGCACGATTGCGTCGCATTCCTTCGCGGAACCGCCGCGAGAGACACAGAGGCGCCTCAACAAAGAATTAGTACCTCGCGTTTGTCCCCGGCGTGAGGGGCAGGCCATTCCAACGGCCAGGCTGATTGGCTAGAAGAGCGGCCTACCTCCAACGGGGCGGTCTGGATCACGGGGGATGACATCCTGCCTGCCGACACGTCGGGAGGAGGTGGTTGCTCCGCCGCCGGACCGCCCTCTCCACCACCCTCGCCCAGGGATCTACAATGGGCTCTGCCTGCGCTCGGCACCGGGCACCGCCTCGGTATACAAAATGCGCCTGCGGGCGGAGCCTCACAGATCACAGATCACAGGGTTGCAAGAAGAGAGCTCGCGCCCGCCTGAACCTTCACGGGACTCTCACAGTCTGCTGTGAGAGCCCGTGTGAAGAGAGCGCAAGGGGTTGACGAATGAAATCCGCTGTAGGTTCTCGATGTGGATGTCCTTTGGCCGCGTTGCTGGGTGCTAGCGAGGATGCCTGGGGAGGGTCTTAATTTCGTAACTCGGCTGTCGTGTGCGTGATCTGGGTCCGGGGTTGTGCCTCTGTGTCGAGGACGGAGAGCATGATGCATCAGTTGCTAGATAGAAAGAAATCGAATTCTGAGTTTTTTGTGCAACTCTGTCGAGCGGGAGCTCGGTCAGGGAGGGGTGGTAAAGAAACCTTCCTTATTAGGTCCGCCTCTCACCCCCTCACGGCGTCCGATGTTGTCTTAATCTTCTGAATTCACGCCACACTGAGCTCCAATGGTTACGTTGTAGAATCTGCCCGTCGTGGCACGCACATACTCGGCGCCACGCAAGTCGCACACCTGAGTCCGCGTCTCTCTCACACCCATGCCCACCGTCAAGCCGCCCAGCTCAACGCCGCCAAACAGTGTCTACCTGAAGAAGAAGCGCGCGCTTGCGACAACGAAGCCTAAGAAGCGTGCTATTCCAGTGGGCATGCATGGCGTCGGTGCAGCTCCCGCCGCTCAGGTGCTGCCGTGCATGAAGCTTCCAGGTTTTGAGGGCATGGTGAGCGGGATCTTCGACGATGCTGACACAAACAACGACGGCAAGGTCGACATCAGCGAGGCATACATCCTCATATTGAAGCTCTACATCAACATCAACCGGCAAGCGCCGATTGCTCCGCCATCGAGAGCAACTGCCGATCTCCTGTTCCGCACCTCGGACAACGACGACAGCGGCAAGCTGAACAAACAGGAGTTCACCGAGCTGGCTAGCAAGCTCTTCGGCCGCGCCGGGCTGCGAGTTGCTTCGTACAAGATCATCACGGTGCTCGTGGCGCCGCTGCTCGGCGCGCTGCTCGCCAGTTACCTGTGTGCAAGCCACGCTCGTCAGATGGCAGACGCGACACCCGGTGCGGTACCGCTGCCTGCTGGCCTCATCGAGAAGGGCCTCGCGCTCGGCCGAGACATTGTTCCGGAGAGCTCCCAGGAGGCTATTTTCAGCGAAGGCTTTCTCCGGACGGTGCTCATTGTGGTGCTCATCTCGAAGCTCGGAAGTGCCGTGCTTGGCGCGGTGGACGCGCTTTTGCTGATGGCGGCCAAGAAGGAGGATGCAACGGAGAATGCCGGGGAGGTGGTGGTCCCGGCAGAGCTGCCATGAAGCGGCGGCCCTCGGCCCGTGGGCCCTAAGGACGACTCCGAACAAAGTGAATGTCGTGAATATTGATGACGCGTGCCTTGCGCCCCCTCTGCCTCTCCGTACTCCGACCCACCGCCCCCCGGGAGACAGCCCACACGCACGGGTCCGCGCTGGAACCTGCATGTCGTGTGCGCGGGGAGGTGCTATAAAAAGCTGGTATACTGGTTTTTGAGTCACTGGTTACTCCCCTATTATGGTTATCTCTTTACTATAATTGGGCCGGCGTCCCCTCCACGAGTCCACGCTCTCCACCGGACCACCGCGCTCCGTCCCTGCGCCCTTGCGCCGTGGTATGTGTGATGCGTTTCTCGGGTTAAAAGTGTCCGCCGGGGGGGAACACGCGATTTTAAAGCCGCAAAAACTCTCCATGACCTTAAATATGTCCACCGGTGCGATCCTCTCGATTCCTCACCATAAAGCCGTACCGCGCCGCCGCCGGCCAGCCCTTCGCCGCTGCAGCGCGCGCGCCTCGATCCGCCTGAAAGCCCGCACGAGGCTCTCCTCCGACGCGGCGAGCGACGGGAAGTCCCGATGGATGCGGCCATTGTCAAAGGTGTGGTCCCTGCTGCTCACCTGCAGCAGGTAGTCGACGGAGCGCGCGCCCGCCAGCCGGCCCAGCGGCGTGTGCCTCACCGCCGCGTGCCACAGCGCCACCAGCATTGCCACCGCGAGGTAGGGCAGCCACACCGCCGGCGACGTCGCGTGCGCGGCGCGGTAGGCGACGAGGTGCTCGCCGTACGGCACGGCCGGCCCGCGCGGCCTCGTGTAGTAGTAGAGCCGCCGCACCGACGCCGCCTCCGCCTCGAGCCGCTCGAGCAGCAGCCGGAGCGCGGTGCAGACGTTCCGGCTCGAGTTTGCATCGAGCAGCACGGGCAGGTAGGCGCCTGCGTGCGCCTGCAGCGCGAGGGCGCGCACCTGCGGCGGCGGAGGGCGGCTGGCGGCGGCTGGCGGCGAGGAGGAGTGGGAGGGTGGGAGGTGGAGGAGTGGGAGGGTGGGAGGTGGAGGTGGAGCAGGCGGTGCGGCCTGGATGCACTGCGGCTCGTTGGAGAAGATCGCGCTCAGTCGCAGGTGGACGTGCGGCAGCCCGGCCGCCTCGCAGGCGCGCCCGATCTCCTCCTCGGAGCAGCGCTTGAACACGTCATACTCCCCGGCGTACTCGCTCA